CTTTTCTTTCTCTTTCCTTCCTTCCTTCCTTCCTTCCTTCCTTCCTTCCTTCCTTCCTTCCTTCCTTCCTTCCTTCCTTCCTTCCTTCCTCTTTGTTTTCTTTTCTTTTCTTCCTTTCCTTTCCTTTCCTTTCCTTTCCTTTCCTTTCCTTTCCTTTCCTTTCCTTTCCTTTCCTTTCTCCCCTTCCCTCCGCCTCTTATCTCATCAAAACTCTACCAAGGAATTTAGGTCAAGAAGGTTGCTGCTTCATTTAACTTTGGACCACCTGCCACTCCATCCTCAAGTAATTCTTCCTGGTCAAGCTTTCCTGGTTAACTATTTACTTCCTTCGTTCATGTTTATCTTCATACCTATACTTGTTATCTTGCACATGTTTGACAAACAAGTAAAATAAAATAAATAAAATAAACAAAACTATCCCAGCTGCTATGTGTACAGATAGTCCTCGACTGAACAACAGTTTATTTAGTGCCCATTCAAAATTACAGCGGCACTGAAAAAAAACCTCACGATTGTTTTTCACAGTTACGACCATTGTGGCGTGTTCTGATCACATGATCAAAATTCAGAAGCTTAGCAGCTGCTTCATATTTACGACCATTTCTGTGTTCCCAAGGTTACGTGATCCCCTTTTGCGACGGTCTGATGAGCAAAGTCAAAGAGCGAGATTCACTTAAGAACCACGATTGTTCATTAACAACTGCAGTGACTCACTTAACAACCGTGACAAGAAAAATCACAAAGCAGGGCAAAACTCACTTAACGAACGTTTCACTTAGCAACAGAATTGTTGGCTCAAATGTTGGTCGTACGTCAAGGACTACCTTGATTTATTTTCTGGATGTTTTTCTTGCTTTAATGGTTTTTTTTTTTTTAAATGTTTTAACTGTATTATAGTTTTAGAATTGTAATATTTTCTGGATGTTTTGCTTGCTTTAATGGTTTTTTTTTTTTAAAAAAATGTTTTAACTGTATTATAGTTTTAGAATTGTAAGTTCCCCAGAGTCACTTGGCTATAGAAATCGAACAAAGAAACAAACAAGGTTCATTTAAAAACGAACAGCACAAGGGAGAAATAACCGATTCTCGGTTTTATCTGCATTCTTTGTCAGGCCGCCATCAAAAAAAATAACCGTATGTGTTTTACGTTACAAAATCTTGCATGAATTCATCGGAGAGGGTGGCCCTGAGATGGACGGAGGCTGTTCCACACCCTGGAGGAATATTGGAAGCCGCCTCTCCCTGGAAGCTCCAGAAAGACGATCTTTATGTTTGAGAAGGGCAAATATTCCTCTTTCCTTTACCACAGGAAGCTTTGAAAATAACTTGAGGAGATCCTGTGTCCAAGTGAACAATATCTGGATCTGGTATGGAACAAATATTTGATAGGTATATTTGGAAATATACTGCTCCAGGATTAGATAGACAATGCCCAATGCCATGTAGTAGGAGTAGTAGTACTAGTACTACTACTACTACCAGTAGTAGGAGTACTACTACCAGTAGTAGGAGTACTACTACTACTACTACTACTACTAGGAGGTCTGTGGGGCCCTTGGTGCTCTCTAACCTTGGTTGTTTTCTTGCTAACATTTCATTACCCAACTAGGTAACATTATCAGTGCTAGATGGGGATGAGGTCTGTGGAGAGAAGGAGAAGGAGGAGGAGGAGGAGGAGGCAGGAAAAAAGAGGGAGCAAGGAGGAGGAGGACTGTGGGGTCCTTGATGCTTTCTGAGCTTGGTTGTTTTCTTGCTGACATTTCGTTACCCAACTAAGTAACGACATCAGTGCTAGAAGGGGGTGGGGTTATGTGGGAAGGAGGAGGAAGAGGGAAGAGGCAGGAAAAAAGAGGGAGGGATGAAGAAAGAGAAGGAAAGAGAAGGAAGCAAGAAAAGAAAAGTGAGGAAAGGCAGGCAGGCAGGCAGGCAGGCAGGCAGGAAGGAAGGAAGGAAGGAAGGAAGGAAGGAAGGAAAAGAGTAGAGAAGGAGAAGGAGGAAATGAAGGAGGAGTAGATAGATAAGGAGGAGGAGGAGACATACAAAAAGGAGGAGGAAGAGTAAGACAAAAAGGAGAAGGAGGAGAAGGAGAGTATGTGCATTTCAACTATTGAATAGGAGCAAACTACATATGATACTACTAATGATACGGTCTTTTTCTTCATTCTTTTCCGTTCTTCTGCTCCCGAAGACACTTCTACTCTCATCTCTATATCTTAAGAACCCCCCCCAGAAGGAGAATCCAAGGTCCACGTTTGGGGGTCTGGGGAGACCTCACAGCAGATCACAACAGATCCAGCGTCACCCTGGAGGGTTATCCTTGAAGCCCGAGCAGAGACAAGGCGAGGACGATGGCGAAGCTCAGGGCACTGAACTCCGCTGTGGCCGCCTGGCCAGCTCCCACGTTGCACAAATCCGTGTAACAACAATAGTTGGGGTGATTTTCACCAATGGTGTCCGGCTCCGAGGGCACACACTTCTTGGAGCAGGATTTGCTGACCGTGATGTTTCCAAAAAACGGGAAACCTGCGGGAGATCAGGAGTAAGAAGGGTAAGAGACGGGAGGGAAAAAGAAAAATAATAATCCAAGAATGGGGTGGTTTTTATTTTTTGTTTTGCTAATTTGGGTGTTCGAAAGGAGCCCAGCCAATCATTGAGACAAACTGAGATTCAAACCGAGAGTTAGTTGCACAGGCTGTAGGAAGAAAAACCCAGAGTTGTGGATTGGATATGGATCCGGATCACTCCCCAAGCTCAGAGGGTCACACATCCTATCCAATCAGGAACATTTTGGGGGGAACCCTCACTGTCCTTTGAGAATTTGATCGATCTCTCCCTCTCTTTTCTCCCGCTCTCTCACACATATTTTTTTTCCATAAATCAATACATTTATTCTATCTACCTATCTATAAATCTATCTATCTCTATCATCTTTACCTATCATTTTTCCTTCTTTCCTTCTTCTTTCTTTCCTTTAAACATCTCTATCATCTTTCTATCTGTTTGTCTGTCTGCCTTATCTATCTATCTATCTATCTATCTATCTATCTATCTATCTATCTATCTATCTATCTATCTATCATCTA